CAATTCTCCTGCCTCAGCCTCCTGAGTCGCTGGGATTACAGGCACGCACCACCATGCCCAGCTAATTTTTTGTATTTTTAGTAGAGACGGGGTTTCACCATGTTGACCAGGACGGTCTCGATCTCTTGACCTCGTGATCCACCCGCCTCAGCCTCCCAAAGTGCTGGGATAACTTGTAATATATTTTAAAGAGAGATTAATAGCTTAACTTCATGCTATCATCCCTTCTTATAGAAACAATAGGCCTTATCAGGCCCGAAGGTTTACCGGTTGGTATTTCTGAAAATCTGTGTTAAGTACCTACAAAGCTAATTAAGGATGTCTAGCATCCGCTCCCATCATTTGTTTCCTTCACTCAGTTCCCCCCTATATTAGACGTTCTGTTGGATAGCTGGTTAAAGAAATGAAGGTCAGGGCTCTTGGGTCTGGAAGCTCAGCTTTTCAGGAGAGAAGACTTTTAAAGAGATAAATTTGTAGCAGAGAAGTATGGAAAACTGTGGGCTTTACAGCTGTACAGAGCAGGTTCAAGTTCTGTCTTTCCCAGTATTAATTCATGACTTCAAACAAGTTTTTTCTAACCTCTTAAAGTATGTGTCCTGATCTATGAAAGAATGATACTTCGTTCTGTAGGATTGTGTGGTTTAAAAAGAACCTATGTAAAGTAGGTTCCCATTACATCAGTGATTTTTGCTTTTATCAAGATACTGAAATGTCTTTGGAAAGCATAAAACTTGCTCCCAGTTTCAGCCTATGATTTTAATATGTTCATGATATTTTTCTAAAATATTGCTTGATAGTCAACTCATCCTCTCTATTAATAATAATTAGTTCTATGTACTGAGCTCTTACTCTGTCAGGTACTGCGTTTAGTACTTTACGTATACTTAGTACCTGTATCCATGCTGTAAGGTATGTTTGGTAATAACATAATTGGTGTGATGAGAACTGCTTGTAAGCACTGAACAGAAAGATGTGAGGGGAAGCCTGTTTTTGGGTGGATGAGAGATAACTAATTTTAGCTTTATTTTTCTCTTTTGTATCATGATATTGGACACTGATAGCAGATTTTCAAATTTGTGAGTTGGTTTTTGCCTTGGAAAAAAAAAACCAGTTCATTCAATTTTTTTAGCGTATGGTCATCATTCCCATTGTACCTGATGAAAAAAATAGGAGGCCTAGGAGGAGAAACAACATGGCCAGCGTTGTAAGCTAATAATTATGGCTAACATCTATTAAGTGCTATGTGCCAAATACTGCCATATATATATATGTTTATACATATATTATCTCATTTAATCCTTGCAGCCACTCTTAGATCCTGTAGAAGTGACAGAGCTGGATTTTGGACCCATACCACTCAGTTTTTGTTTTTCAGAAACTAATTAAAAATTGAAGAAAAATTATGTTCATAAAACATTTTTTGTGTAATTTATGTGGAGTGATATGGGGAGTATGATAGTGGTATCCGTGATCACAGATATAACATGACACACCGAAGAAAACCAAGATTTCCTTTGTGACAAAGTAATTTTAGTAAATACAAAAATAGCGTAATTTTGAATTTTGGTTATAAATTGGATGTATTCTTTGGTTCTCAGGGTCTTTTTGGCGTTCCTGAGCTCAGTGTCCCAGAAGGATTTCATATTGCACAAGAAAAAGCCTTGAGAAAGACAGAATTGCTTGTGGAGCGTGCATGTTCCACCCCTCCTGGGCCCCAGACTGTGCTGATCTTCGATGAGCTCTCCGATTCCTTGTGCAGAGTGGCTGACTTGGTAAGATGCTTTGCCTCAGACTTGAAGCTACCTCTCGTTCAACCTGTTAAGATTTCAGTGAAATTTATCCTGTGGTGTTTACTATTAATATTAGATTATACAGTTAAAAATGTCTGAAACTGTTTGAGATCCATTGCGTATAATTTGTTATGATGAAGTATGTCATTAGGAATAGGGAAAATGTTACAGGAAAAGGTGATATTTAGAACTGATACTTTAATATGTGTATTTAATAAAATATACATGTAATATACAATGAATGAATGATTAATATAGCAAAGATATGATATGTTTATATTACATATATATATATATATATATAGATATTTATATATATATTCATTTGACAGAGGTTCTTCACTTAGGAAAGCTTCTCCCAAAATTCTAAGACTACTGTATGTGTTTACACAGAATTCCTCTTTTTCTTTCTTTCTTTCTTTTTTCTTTTTTTTTTTGTGTGTTTAATAGAGATAGGGTCTCCCTATGTTGCCTGGTGTTGCCCAGGCTGGTCTTGAACCCCTAACCTCAAGTGAACCTCCTGTCTCAGCCTCCCAAAGTGCTGGGATTGTAAGTGTGAGCCACTTATTTTTCATAAGAGTTATGAAAAGCAGCTTTAATATACCTTTTCAGGAATGCTTTTTTTTTTTTTTTTTAATAAAAACTAAGTTTTGACATCAAAATGATTGTAAACACTTTCTTTCTTTTTCTTTTCTTTTTTTCTTTCTTTTTTTTTAAACATTTTCAAGTTGAAATAAAAGTGTATACCTAGATATCTTCACCAACTAGGAAATCCATTGCTGAGATAGCAAAATTTTCTTTTTCATTTTTAATTTTTCTGGGTGTATGTATATATTAATGAGGTACATGAGATGTTTTGATAGAGGCATGCAATGCATAATAATTACATTATGGAAAATGGATATCCATCCCTTCAAGCATCTGTCCTTTGCGTTACAAACAATGCAATTATGCGCTTTTAGTTATTTTAAAATCTACAGTCATTATTAACTGTAGACACCCTTTTGTGCTATCAAATAGTAGGTCTCCTCATTCTTCCTGTTTTTTTGTCCCCATTAACCACCCACCCACACGCCCCTGCCGCCCCTCCCAGCCTCCGATAACCGTCCTGCTATGCTTTATTTCCATGATTCAATTGTTTTTAGGTCCCATAATAAGTGAGAATGTGTGATGTTTGTCTTTATGTACCTGACTTATTTCACTTAACATAATGACCATGCATGTTGCCGCAAATGACATGATCTCATTCTTTTTTATGGCTGAATAGTATTCCATTGTGTATCAGTACCACATTTTCTTTGTCCATTCATCGGTTCATGGACACTTGGGTTGCTTCCAAATCTTGGCTATTGTGAACAGAGCTGCAACAAACATAGAAGTGCAGATATCTCTTTGATATACTGATTTCCAGGAAGCAGGATTTTCTATCAGCCTGAAGGAGCTGACTCTTGTTTCAGAGAAAGTGGCACACGCATCCAAATCGTGATCATTTCTGATCTTGTCTAGATGGTATTGAACTCCATAGCTTTTTCCCTCACATTCAGTCAATGTTGAGCACCTACTGCGTGCCGAACACTGTCTAACATGCAGGAATGAAACAGACACAACCTCTTACTTCCTGGAGTTTATATTCTGGCATTAACTTGTTTTTGAAGATTTACTAGGCTATAGGCCCTTTCTACAGCCTAGTTAACTGAAGGAGCTTTCTCTGGATGAGCGGAGGTAACCTTTTCAGCATATCTGCATTTTCACAAGAGGGAAGAAAGGCACTGGGTGATGAAGGGATGTGCCTGCTGTCCCCTGGCCAGTGTGTGGTGCAGCTGGGCTGGCAGCCCAGGCAGGGTATCCATCAGACTCCTCTCCTTCCTGCTGTTCCAACCATTTCAGGGCTGTCTGGCTGCTCAGATCTCATGAACACTTACCTGGAAAAGTTGCAAAGTTTGTTAGCCTTTCCATTTAAGAAAATACATGCACTTGTTTTTAAAATTATTATACGGTAAAATTGACTTCTTTTGGAGGATGGTGCAGTTCTATGAATTTTAACTCATATAAATTTGTGCAACCCCCCACCACAATTAGGATACAAAGCTGTTCCATCAACCCCCAAAAATCTCCCTTTGTAGTCAAACCCACCCCTCCCCACTAACCTCCGAAAACCACTAATCTGTTCTCCATCCCTATAGTTTTGCCTTTTCTAGAATGTCACATAAGGGGAATCCTGTATACCTTTTGACTGACTTCTTTCACCCAGCATAACACCTCCCATCTTTATTTATTTTCCTTTTTTGGAAAATTTCCTTCCACCCATACACCTGACTTGAGCATGAACATCTTTCAGATGATTGTATGTTTACCACCAGCTTCAAAGGCTTAAGGAAGCTGACAAAGTATCTTATTGTAAAGGGTTTTTCTCTGGAGTGAAGTTGCAGGCTCTTGGTAGTTCTGTTGTACTGGGTTTTTGTTCTATGCCTCCAGTATATGCATAGGAAATGTGCCGTTGAATGATGGGGGAGCTGTGGAAATGCACTGCCCAAAAGGAGGTTTCATACCCTGTTCACCTAATTATGTCACTGAGATCTGAAAAGGAAAATCTGTGTCAGTGTATTTCACTATTCAAGTACAGTCAGCCCTCCAGATTGGGGGATCTGCGGAGTCAAAAATATTTGGAAAGAAAATTGCATTCATACTGAACATGTGCAGACTTTTTTCCTTGTAACTGCTCCGTAACACAATACAGTGTAATAGCTATTTACATATTATTTACATTCATTTAGGTATTACAAGTAATCTACAGATGATTCAAAGTATGGGGTATGCTGTGTATCGGTGATATGCAGGTACCACACCATTTTATGTCAGAGACTTGAGCGTCTGTGGATTTGGGTACCTGTAGGAGGATCTAACCGTTGCCCACTGATACTGAGGGGTGACTGTTGGCTTGGCTGTCACAAATCCCAGAATTCACTGTGTATTTGTTGTCTTAGTCTTCATCTTAATTAATCAGTATTCTAGGATTTTTTTCTAAATTTTACTTTTGGTCTTCACTAAAAAATTTTAACTTCTCTGCCCTATATCTTTTCTTATATTGACATTTTTAATAGTTATGTATAATAATATCTCATTTTGAAAACAAAAAAAAACCAAACTACGTGATTTATATATGTAGGTCTCTGGGTAAAAAAGAACGTTTTTCCTTTTTGAATTTTTAAGATATTACCAGCCAATAAGATTAGTACTATTATAAGGCAATCGTTTTATAAGCTGTTTTTCACCAAATAGTCATTTTGGTTTTTTTATACAGTTTTTATGTAACAACTGTTTTCCTCATCACTATTACAAAGCAGTTTTTAATACGTATGCTAGTGCTTTGAATTTTAATATTGATTATAAATTCACAACATGTAGATTAGAAATTTGTAAAAAAAAAAAAAAAAATGACGTAAGTTTACATAACTCATTTTTCGGGTACTTTGGTACTAATGTTATCTTATTGTTACCAGTTGTTACAACAAATATACCAGACTTTGGATTTAAATGTTTTGGCATTAGAAACTATATGATAATAAAATTAGGAAATTTTACCTTGTGGTGATTTTACTTGATGTTATAGTCACACATCTTCTTGGCAAGTAAAGAAAATATGTAGTGTTTTGTAGTTTCCCTGCTTTTTGTTACAATTAACATGAAAATGAAAATTTAGTTTTACGTCATTTTATCTTTTTAAAAAAAATTTTTCGCTGATTTTAATTTTTAATGACGTTAGCAGTGGCAGTAGTAGTTGTATACAGTATTACATGGAGACTATGAATTGATATTTTATTAAAAGGACTATAACGAGAATGTTGCCTTTGTTTTCTGTGCAAAGACTAGAATGTCGTTAAATCAAATACTAGAATATAGGTAAAATCAGTTTCGAAACTATGCTATGTGTCAGTTAAAAAGCCTCTACGAGTTGTTTTCTAGAGATAGGTTAACATGTGAGAACCATACTGCAAAGCATTTTAGTGAGAAAGTTGTAGAATATTTGAAACTAGTGTCTGTTCTTTTGAAATAAAGAATTACGAAGAATTTGCTTGGTGTTTATATTTGAAGGAAAAAAGCTTTTCTGAAATAAAGTTAATAAAAGTATTTTTTTTTTAATGAAACAAACTTCCTTTCAAGGAATAACAGAACTAATAAATGTTCAGAAAGAAGCTGCTTTGCTTTACTTGCTTAGGAAAAAGTTAGTAATGGAAATACACAGGCCAAGCCAATGACACATCTTAAAACCCAGTTTTCATTTTCACCCTCAGATCCTGGAGTAAATCTTCCCATCAAATTCCCTTTTGGTTTTGTCTTTCTCCTTTATTAGGCTGATTTTGTGAAAATCGCTCACCCCGAGCCAGCATTCAGAGAAGCCGCCGAAGAAGCCTGTAGAAGTATTGGCACCATGGTAGAGAAGTATGTGCTGTTCTCCCCGCCCCGCCCCCCTGCCAAATGCTGGGTGATCTGGTTTCATGGACTCGTGCCGGAGGCAGTTTTATTAATAGTGCTTGTCCTCCACCCAGCAGGGTGGGAGGTGTGTGTGACCCGGGTGGCCAGAGGGAGGGCTGAGGACAGGCCATTGGCTCACCTCACAGGCAGGCAGAGTGGGCCGCTCAGTCATTTCCTTGTCTATAAATGGGGTCATAACGTTAACCCTGCCTCAGAGTCCTTGTGAGGGTTAATGAGATCAGTGTAAAGGTGTCACTTGCTAATCTGAGATCACAGACACCCAGGATTCTAATTATCACCATTATCACTTACCTTAAATAAGGGCTTTTTAGTACCTTAGTGGCAAGCTGGACTTACTAGATTATCACTTGATTAAATTGCTGTTGCATCTATGGCTGTGGGCCACAGGGCGAGAAGCCAGAACGCTCTATAAACAGTGTCCTTGTGGCCCCCATCAAGTTGGAATTAGGGGAGTCTAGGGAGGCCATAAAAGTCTATGGGAGGGCTAGAGCGGGCTCTGGCTGAGGCTGTGATGGAGTGTATTATTTTAAAGTGTATTATTTTAAAGTGATTTTGAGGTAAATGTAAATGTTTTTAAGCTACTTATGAGAGCTCCATAGTGCTTGTTAAAATAACCGTGGACAGCGCCGTATTCCAGCGCACTTAGCTACATGGCACCATGCCAGGCAGTGTACAGAGCTGGGGAGAGCCCTGGGCTCGCCAGCATGGATTTACAACAGGAGAAAGGGGTAACACGATAAGACGATTCCATATACCAGAAATTGTTGGAGGAGAGTGGTGCCTTCTGTGGTTGGATGAGGCTTCCTTGGAGGACCCCATACTTCAGGATGTGCAGCTGCTGCTTTTCCATGGGTCGAGCTACATCTGTTCACTTTGGCATGGTTGTGTATGACTTTTCCCATAGCTGCTAAAAACCAACCCGCGGAAAGGGATAGAGCTGGGCCGTGCAGACTGCAGACACTGGCATGCTGACGGGGCTGAAAGTGGGGGCTCCCTGGGAGAAAGCTTTGCCTCTCTGGGAAAGGCCCCTGGAAAGCAGGCAGCAGCGGGCCGTCTGCTCTACGTCCTGCCAAATTAGACGTGGCCTGGGCTCATGGACAAGCACTCTTCATTTTGCGGGAGGACAAGCACAGACTAAAGTATGGATCTTATCTCAGGGTCTTCCAACGTAAAACATACTGGGAGGTTTCCTTAAACCTCTGCAGTGGGGGCAGAGCCTCTGAACTGCTGTCCCTTTGCCGTGGAATGGCTCCATGGGTGAGCAGGTTAAGAGGAGGTAGGCCTCCACACTCCCTCTCTCCCTGACTTCTGGGATCCATGTGTGGGAGTCTGGCCCTTCTTGGTGAATGTTTTTTGATTGGCAATGACTACCTCCATTTCCCTGGTGTTTGGGAAGGCCCATGAGAATGGTAACAGAAACCCTTTGATTCTTAGAAATCTTCAGTGTTTTTATGTGAACCAATGGAGGAGCAGGAGTATCCTTGAGTCTCTGAGTAGGAACTGGTGGGTGGTTCTTATAACCTTGTCCCTCCTTGAAGATCTACCAAGGAGGGTGCAGATTGTATCTGGACCCAGCTCACTATTTAGCTCTGAGAGGGCCATGGCGTTTGCATTTAGGGGAGTGAACTGGTTTCCTGCCAGTGGTACTGTGGGATGGGTTGGGACCACTGCCCAGCGTTGGGCCCTTTGCTCCCTGGCTGGCAGAACTGCTCAACAGTGGTCATGGTTCATTCACATAGGATGTGTGTGCTGCACACATGATCTCGTTTAATCCTCACAGCAGCCTAAGGTCTGAATAACATGTCCAAGGTGCCAGAGCAGTAACAGGGCTAGTCTTGCATCCCAGGTGCGTGGCTCTGAAACCTGTGTCTTGAGCTCTCCCTTACAGTGTGTGCCTGCCACTCACACTCACATGAGCACAGGTAGCCTGTGTTCTAGGGTGTTCAGTCCAGGACTGGAAAATCTTTGTGGTATTCATCCTCCCATCCTCATGCCTTTCCTTTTATTAACAAAGCAAGTGGCCACTGGCATGTTGTTAATGGGGACAGGTTCTCAGTTAAATCACTAGTTACCATATCCCTTCCCTCCCCTCCCCTCTTTCCTGCCTGCCCTTTCTGCCTCAACTGTGGACTGTGGGTTTAAACTTATCCTTTAACCTACCAGAGCAGTTAGTACCCCAACACTTCACCTAACAGACTGCCTGTGCTGAGTAGTTCAGTTTCTAAGAATGGTTTTGCACTGGATGTGGTGGCTCATGCTTGTAATCCCAGCACTCTGGGAGACCGAGGACTGAGCAGGGAGATCATTTGAGCTCAGGAGTTTGAAATCAATCTGGACAACATGGCTAGACACCATCTCTACAAGAAATTCAAAAATTAGCTGGTCTTGGTGGTGTGCGTCTGTAGTCCCAACTACTTGGGAAGCTGAGGTGGAAGGATCACTTGAGTCTGGGAGATTGAGGCTGCAGTGAGCTGCGATCGTGCCACTGCATTCCAGCCTGGGTGAGAGAGTGAGACCCTTGTCTCCAAAATAAGGGAAGGAAAGGAAGAAGGGAAGGAGAAAAGGAAAGAAGGAAGGAAGGAAGGATGGTTATGCTGTTCCTGGTAGATTATGCTATTCAGCTTCTGGGCATCTGTGTGGTACAATCTGACACCATTCTTTTCATGTAAAGTTAAAGTATTAGAAAATCATCTAATTTTTTCCTTTCTAATTTTTCTAGGTTGAACACAAATGTGGAATTATATCAAAGTTTGCAAAAATTACTAACTGATAAAAAACTTGTGGATTCCCTTGATCCAGAAACAAGGTATTCACTCATTTCTTTCCTTAGTTGTGACTGTGACTGTAGAGGTGAGGTTGGGAGACTCCCCTCAGGGCCTCTGTACTTGCAGCCTCTGCTGTCTGGAATATTCCTCCCCAGGTATCTCTTTGACTTCTGCACTTTCTCTAGGACTCCACTCAAATGGTGTCTCCCCCAAAATCTTTACACAGGGTCAGACTCCACCCTCTGATCCGGATTTATTTTTCTTCATAGTCCTGATTCGTTCCAACATATCCTATTTGTTTATTTGTCCATCATCTGTCTCACCAGACTGCAAGCTCCTTGAGGGTAGGACCTGGTCTGTTTTGTTCCAGCTGCACCCTCAGCACCTACGCATTCTTGGAATGTGGTCAGTGCTCAACCAATGAATGAACTCCTATAAACAGTTAATAATTACGCTTAGCTTTATGCTTAAAGTTCCTTAATTGATGCTATCAGAAAATATAAGCAAATCGATTTTATTTACTGGGAGGATGTCAAGATCCTTGTAATGATTTGCTTTGGTTCATTAGGCTGCATTTATTAAATCTGAATCAAAAAGGCCTAACTTCTAAATCAACACATGAGACTATTTGATATGAGACTTATTTCTTTGCTTAAATGTATTTATGAGTGTAGTAGGGTTTGTCATTAACCTGCTTGTAATATTTATGTCATAACACAGAGATTAATTGTTTCTCATCTGTTTGTACCTATTATCTACTTTTTATTAGTGGGACACTTCCTCTGGCAACTTGATTCTTTCTGATCCTGTTTCCTTCTCCTATCTTGTCTTTATGTGGCTTATTGGCCCTCAAGTGAAGCCACTTTCTGTAGGGACCAGTTGATCATCCAGTTTGCTGTTAATCTGATACATGAGCAGCATAGTATGTCAGTAGCACATTGGGGCTCAGTCTTTGAGGGATTATTTTCACCTGCCTGACAGGTATGTAGGTACCTGGTGCTGTTTGACTTTGTCAGTCCTGATGCTCAGGACACTAGTAAAGCTAGCTATGTTATCACAGTAGTTTAAGCTTGATCATGATACTGCTTTCATGAGCAAAGCAAGGAAAAATTGAATGCCTATTAATTGTGCCAGATTTATACTGAACTGGTGCTGCCTTTAAATAACAAAAAATGTCAAAAATGGAAGGTTATTCATAATCTCTATTTACTAAAGATTGACATGCCCCTGTTTGTGTATAAAAATTGTAGTGGACTAGCAGACCATCTTAGATAGAAAGTACTTGAACTGATAAGGATACATACCACATTTCTAGATATTTCTAAAAACGCCAATAGGAATTTTTAAATAATAAAATGTTAAATATATTGGGAAAAATAAACTGGGTAGAATATCAATAGTCTAGAAAAGAAAAGCAACTTGGAAGTAGGAGAGAGAAGAATTTGAAGTAATCATTGTTGCAGTATCATGGCACTTACATATCACTGAGTGTTGGCTAGCACCCAGAAAGAACTATATTTTAGACCTATGCATATGGTAAAATATAAGACATTGGCTAAATCAAAGAATTATAGATTTAATAAAGTCTTTGCTGGTTAGTTAATATACAGAGAAAATGATTTAAATCGAGTAACTTATTCTTAGATTCAGCTTTTGAAATACTAGCTCTCTGAGATGTTCAGAAATTTTCTCAGAAGGGTTCTTTCAGTCAGTAAGTTTGGAAATCTCATATATCAGTGTATTTCCCTGCTTGAAAAATTTTAGTAGTTTAGAGTCTCTGAGAAGCCCAGCCATAAAGAAACCTGTTTACTTGGGGGTTTTTCCAAAGCCATTAAGAGCTTTCATGTATGCAAAGGATATAATAAGCACAATCTTCAGATAATTTAATGGAGGGAAAATCCTAGTTGTGAGAACAGCCAAAGCTGTAATACACCTTAGAATGAACTAAGGAAGGCAGAGTGCAGAACTTCAGTACACACAACACCTAGGAAGCATGAAAGCGACTGAAACAGAGAAACATGCTGTATTCATAGCTAAGAAAGAATAACGCTCCATCATGTTTACTACAATAAGTTCAATGCTATCCAATTTATAAAGGTTTTCTTTTGTTGTTGTTGTTGTTACTTAAAATGGTTTTGAAGTCATAGAGAATAAATATGCCAGAACAGGTAGGAAAACTCTCATGAGGGAAATTACTAAAAAGGAACTTATACCAGATAGAAGAACATAGAAAAATGCTGTATTTAAAGAGCATTATATTTAAAAATGCCAGAATAGTCAGTTAGATCAATGTAAGAATAGAGAAATTTCAGGCACAGATGCAGATACACACACACACACACACACACACACACACACACACACACACACACACAGCAAGACTATTTGGTAGGTCATAGAAGTCATTTCATATCAGTAGGGAAAGACTTGGTTTTCAGTAAATGATGTTAGACCAGTGGATAACCATTTGGGGGGAAAAAGTAGATTGATTAAAGATTTAAATATTTTTAAAAGAAATATAAAACTAGTGTAACCTTGGGATGTGGAAGGTGTTTCTTGGTATGATACAAGTTCATAGCACAGAAAGATTGATTGATTTTTATTGTATAAACATCGCAGTCTTTGGTATAGCAAAACACTTCCACATTCAAAGTCAGAACACGCAAATGGGACAAACGGTTCTTATATGACAGAGGCTTAATATATTAACTATGTTAAGAGACCTTTCAAATTACTTTAAAAAAAAAAAAGAAAACCCCCTTATAGAAAAATGGGCAAAAGATTCTCTTTGTGAAACTCTCCTTTCACAAAATAAGGAGTAGCCACAGATGGTCATTAAATTGATAGCAGTGTGCCACAAACGTAACATGGCAACAAGTGTGGAGTAGGGGAAAGTGCATCTCTAGAGTGGGACAGCTGGGTTCGACGTTGGCTTCAGAGCTCATTAAGCCTCAGTTTTCTCCTTTGTAAAGGGGAAATATAAAGTACTTCATCAGAATCATATGAGATGTAAAGGAAATAATTTGTGTTAAGTGCTTTGCTGTGTACCTGGCACGTAGTAGTCAATCAGTAAATGGGACCCACCACCATTAAGGAAAGATGGGATGAAGCAAAGAGCCCAGCAGCCAACAAGCTTGAAACAGAATAAGAATAGTACTTCTGGTTTAACATGGTGGATCCTCTCTAGTTATGTGTAAATTGCTAAGTCTTTATGGAGGACTGTTTGGTAATATATATCGGTGTGCATATTTTTTGATTAATTTCTTGGAATTTATCCTAAGGAAACAAGCAGGGATTCAAAAAAAACATAACAAGGATTTTTGTTCTATTATGGCTCATGGGAGTTGGAGAACAAAAACGTTTACAGTCTATATGACAACACAAAACAAGCATCAAAAGCCAGCTTTTTGAGGAATGTTTAAAGATATGGAGAACTTCAATGTTTGTGATATAATTTTACAAGAAAAAAACAAAAGTATATACAGTTGGACCTTAATTATTCTTAATATGTAATATAACATTAAAAGTAGATTGAAAGGAAATCCAAGAATTTTAATAGTCATCTTTGGTAGGATTAGTGATTTTAAATGTTTCATGTTTCTACAATACAGTTTTGTAACATAATAGACCTATATTGTATAATACAATAAACATAAATTTCCATTCATGGTATATTTGACATAATAATCAGGAAGATAAATATATCTATTTTGAAAACTCAAGGAGAGCCAAAAGAGTAGATCAAATATTTGATTGTTTTCATTCAGTGTGTGTGTTTTTTTTAAATACCGTTGACAGAAAAAAAGTGTTACACTTGAAATTGGTTCCAAGCATGAAGCAGGATTAAAAAGAAAGAAAACAATTCTCATTAGCCAAAAAGCTCTCAGCTTCCAGCACAGCATCAAAGAATTTAATATTCTAAATAGCTGCTACTGGCTGGAAGGAAAACTGAAAATCTCATGCAGAGGGCCTTTGAAAAATTGTCCAAATATAAAACCTGTTTTATGTTTTTAATTATTGGGATTTGGATTGAGTTGAAATAAATAAGTAATTATTATGGTGGCTTTCACAGGTTTATACTCTCTGAATAAAGGAATAAGCTCTTACATGAAGAGCCAATCATAATTATCAGTCAGCTAGATGTTTTGCCTGACTTCTGAGGATATTAAGCTCCTTGTTTAAAACAGAGAGAGAGAGAGAGAGAGAGAGTGTGTGTGTGAGAGAGACAGAGTGTGTGTGTGTGTGTGTGTTGAAAGAATTTTTGGCAGTGAGGCGCTAAAAGACTGAAGATTTATTTACCAAAAAAACCCACAATTTTTTTGTTAGTAATTTTTATTACCTGTTGTAACCTGGGGCTCATTTTATTTATAGGCGAGTAGCTGAACTGTTTATGTTTGATTTTGAAATTAGTGGAATCCATCTAGACAAAGAAAAGGTACATCTTTCCTCTGTTTTTTGACTCTTTCTGTTTTACTAACATTCAGTTGGTATCATTGTTGCTACAGTCCTTGTATATATTGCTTGAATTTGCATATTGCAAAAATGTGCAGGTCTTTTATCTGTTATGAAATTCTTCTATAGATTGTATTTGAATGTAGCCCTCTCTGGAAGCTGGCCTATCACACCATGATGATTCAGAATTAAGAAAGACTTGGGCCAAGTGGAATGTTTTAGATGTCATGGAATGAGGATGAGATGGGCAATATCAGAAAAGACTGGCAAGTAAATGGGAAAGCTGATGCCATTGAAGATTGGTAGTACAGGGAATATCACTGAGACCTTACATAAGTGTATTTATATATATTACACGTGTCTTTGACAGATGCAGCAAGCACAGATTACACAGTGTTTACACTGGAATTGAGGGCCTTCTACCTCGTCCAGGCCCTTCATTTTACAGATGTGGAAACAAGACAAAGTGATTTGTTCAAGTTGCCATCCTAACTAATGGCCAAAGTTGTTAAAATTTCTAACACTGGCCATTGTCTTTCCAGTACATAACATCCCAAGAAACCTAGTGCCACATTTCAGTTTTAAACTCAAGGCTGGAAGAACAGGAGGGACTTGACACCATTGAAAGTTCAGCCTGCCCCACAGTCTCCTCCACTCACCTGCCGTCTAGACTATTATGGCTTTTTGTTTGTTTATTTGTTTTAAACAGTAATACATTTCTCCTACTACATATGGTAGAATTAAGCCACTTACCTATGAAGAGATTAAGTTATCAAAATATCTTGAAAAGTAGAAGGGAATGTGTATCACATAGCATAGATACTATCATTTTGATAGGTGTTGAGTTTGAGTAAAGCTGGAGCCCCTCACACATCTGATGTGTTTGTGTGGCTTTAAAGGCTCAGCATGTGATTCTTGGTCTGACCCTGAACCAGGACATGCCTTCCCAGCAGCCTAGGAGGCTTATAGGCTCTACTGTAAACTCACATTGCCTAAAGTGAGCACATTTGCCCCTTTCAAAATCAGTTCTTCATTAATACTTCTCTGTAAAATAAAATTTTGGAGTCAGTTTGTATTCTTTTCCTTCCTGATATTCTCATATCTTCTAACCAAGTCCTTGCATTGTTCCTACAGTCCTGCATCTGTCTGCATCCCAAAAGCAAACCACCTTGATTCTACACTTGATCTTAGCCAAAAATCACCTTGATTCTTAGTACCAAACACCTGCACTATTCTAAAGGCCTCTGTCTTCCTAACAGTTACTATATTTAACATCAATTGAGCATTTGCTATTTTAAAGCGTATATTTCTCATCAAATCCTCACAGCAACTTTGAGCTTCGTGCTACTATTATTCCCATTTTTTCAGATGAAGAAACCGAGGCTGTAGAGGTTGTGGGAGGTTATTTGGTAAGCCAGACAGACTCCAGAGCCTACATGGCCAGCCCTGTCTGTCGGCATCCTGCTGGTCAGTCTTTCCTGTCTGTGAACATTGGATTAGTTTTTGTAAGCATTGATTTGTTACTCTCCTGCACAGAATCGTCCTGTGTGCTTCCCATTGTCTAGTGAGGTTAACAAAGAGCTCATACTCCTGGCTGTGCTCCGGCTCTCAGCCGCTCATTCACAGTGCCCTCCCCCGTGTGTGGTGAGCTGTCCTCCTCCTACGCCTACTCCGCAGGTTTGCCTGCCTGAGGTCCCCATGAAGGCTTCATCCTCACGTCACATTGTCAGTGAAGCTTTTATCCATCCCCCAGGTGGAATTTTACATTCATTTAAACGCATTTTACTTCTTTCACTCATGTGACATTCTTCTTTACCTCTTATTGATGATGATGCTGTTATTGTTTTGCTTATCTAAACTGTAGGCTTATCAAGGATCGAGAACATGGATTGTGTTTTTTAATGCATATTAGTTTGGGATTCAATAAAGTATTGAGTGAATGCATGACGAATCATAATAATGCTAGCTAGATATCTTCAGATAGAAGGTTGCTAGTATAGAATCCACTTGAATAGTTTTAGTTTTTATGTAATCCTCACGAAGGATGCTTTTGAAACTTTGGTGACATATGTGTTCAGTTTCACCAGCATAGACATTGCCAGTTATCTAACGTATTATTACAGTGTAGCTCCTCTTTCCCAGTGAGCAGCTCCCTGGGGAACCCATCAATATTGAATATGCAAGTAAACCTGTTCAGTTTTTCTCTTGTAACTTCCATGTCTGTTTTCAAAGGTGCTCCACTAGTACAGGATATAAGGAAGACATGTTCCATTTTTCAAAAGAGAGCTCATGAGATAAACCTACCAACATAATCTATAAACCATCAAAGCCTATATTCTTTACAGTTGGTTTCTTATTTAATTTTTTTTTTTTTTTTTTGAGATGGGATTTCACCCTTGTTGCCCAGGCTGGGGTGCAATGGCACGATCTGGACTCACCACAACCTCTGCCTCCCGGGTTCAAGTGATTCTTCTGCCTCAGCCTCCTGATTAGCTGGGATTACAGGCATGTGCCACCATGCCTGGTTAATTTTGTATTTTTTCAAAATTAGTAGAGACAGGGTTTCTCCATGTCGGTCAGGCTGGTCTCGAACTCCTGACCTCAGGTGATACGCCCACCTCAGCCTCCCAAAGTGCTGGAATTACAGACATGAGCAACCGTGCCCAGCCTTAATTTTTAAGGTCTCATACAAATATAATTTATAAATTTAAAATGAATAGAAATGTTTATTTTTAACATTATTTAATAACACAAAAATTTCATAGAAGTTTTGAAGAGTTCAGATTATTGTACATTTGTTACCACAGAATGATGAAGTGATATGCCTGGTAGATCATTGAAGTCACTGTGAGCTCCGTTTTTATTTTTCAGAGATTTTATCAGCTGATAAAAAAATTACTTATCAGCTGATAAAATCTTCAAAGTAATTTTATCACTTTTTTTTTCATAGTAAAGGCTTTGAGGAAAATTTTGGAACTGTAATGTAATTTCAAGATCCTGTTCCTCTTTTTTGTTATTCCACTTGTTACCATTAGGTGGTGCTAAATGGCCGTATCAGAAACAAAATCAGCAAAGAGAAATCTGGACTGTAAAGACATCAGAGTCTCCGAAAACTTTTTTCCATGAAGTTTGAATTTTCTATATTGAAAACTTTGGGGTTAATAATACGTGCTCAATTTTTTCAGCATCTTATCAAGCATACCTCTACATCATCTGTGTTTATCTTGAAAAAGTATATTAGTACTGTGGCTTAATAATTTTTTAGGAGCATAGTATGGTTTAGAACCTGTTAATTGCTATCTCCCCTCCCAGAAAGATTTGTGTACACTTTCACCTGAAGTCCAGCATGAGCCCAATGTAGAGCCTGTCTGGTTTTTTAGTAACCAGTAACTGAAAATTCAGCCCTTGTCCTCCAGTAGACCTGACTCATAATGTGGATTCTAGTTTATATTTCATTTAAAGCATTTATGGCAACCCTTTGCTAATACATGTTTTCTCAGGTGATTGTTACAAAGGCACGACTGCAAGATCAAACCTAGGCGGACATGCCAGCACCATCCACATCCTCATCACTGACTATCAGAGGGTCTGGCAGGTGTGAGGAACATGAGCCACATGAAAGGGACGCAGAGTAGAAGACAGGACCATGCCCTGGGGCTCCAGTCTATTCTTAGGCTTCACTGTATCGTTCTGTAGCAGCCCAAGCACATACAAAATCAGAACATTGCTTTTCCCTGAGACAGGATCTCGCTCTGTTGCCCAGGCTGCAGTGGTGTGATCATAGCTCATTGAAGCTTTGGCCTCCTGGGCTTAAGTGATCCTCCTGCCTCAGCCCCCGAAGGACTGTGACTACAGGCGTGTGCTACCACACCTGGCTAAAATCGGAACTTTTAAAATGTGCGTCTCCACTTATGGAGGTTCACTACACTTTTGCAAAGAACTGTATTATTATTATTTTTGAGACAGAATCTCCCTCTCTCTCACAGGCTGGAGTACAGTGGTGCACTGTCAGCCCATTGCAACCTCCGCCTCTTGGGTTCAAGCAGTTCTTGTGCCTCAGTCTCCCGAGTAGCTGAGATTACAGGCACGCACCACCACACTCAACTGATCTTTGTATTTTTATAGAGATGGGGTTTTGCCATGTTGGCCGGGCTGGTCTCCAACTCCTGACCTCAAGTGATCCACCCTCGTTGGCCTCCCAAAATGCTGGGATTACAAGCATGAGCCACTGCATCTGACCTGTATTTTTTGATGTTGTTAATTTCAACGATTAGTTATATAACCTAGACATAAAATAGAAGTTATGTAAACCTTGAAGCATAGAAACATGAGAAAACCATAAGTAATCTTTTTGTTAGTGTATTAAATTCTGTTAAAAGTAAAATGAATGTTATTTATGCTATATATTGTATAGTAACGATATTTTCAATATATTCATTTTACTAATATATTGAATGTTATTAAGTGATAACGTATATGCTGATTTGACATCTTTATATTTTATTAAATTAGTTGTGAGATATTAATTCAAAGTGCCTTTAAATAATTTTTACTTTTCCTGCATATAGCGTAAAACAGCAGTGGACCTCAATGTTAAAATCTTGGATTTGAGTAGTACATTTCTTATGGGAACTAACTTTCCCAACAAGATTGAGAAGCATCTCTTACCAGAACACATTCGCCATAACTTTATATCTGCTGGGGATCATATCATAATTGATGGCCTCCATGCAGAAGCACCAGATGACTTGGTATGTATGTTTCATTCTCTTTATTGTTTAGGTCCCATTTGTGTGTTGCTACTGTTTTAACCCAAGATTTAGAGATAATATAATAATATCCTTAAATACTTTTTAGCAGGCCAGGTGTGGTAGCTCATGCCTGTAATCCCAGCACTTTGGTAGGACGAGTCGGATGGATCACTGAGGTCAGGAGTTCAAGACCAGCCTGACCAACATGGTGAAACCTCGTCTCTACTAAAAATACAAAAAATTATCTGGTCTTGGTGGCAGGAGCCTATAATCCCAGCTACTTGGGAGGCTGAGGCAGGATAATTGCTTGAACCCAGGAGGCGGAGGTTGCAGTGAGCCGAGATCGCGCCATTGCACTCCAGCCTGGGTAACAAGAGCGAAACTCCATCTCAAAAAAAAACTTTTTAGCATTACTATGCTAAGCCCCAAAAATTTAACTTGTGGAATCATTCATGCCATAAACACTTTAAAGAATGAAAATGGTTTAATTACTTATATTTCATACAAGACTCCTTATTTTTAAAGTATGATTAATAACAGCATTGATTGACATTCTAGACTACAGAGGCTTTTTAATGCATGCAGCCTTGCTTCACCCGGTTAAGATGCTTCACAGCATAGAAGTCCATGCATTGGGTAGAGGTTTGCCCCACTATACCTCAGAATAGTTCCCTAGAGTTGTAGTCAAGTATGCTGTAGCATCCCATGCTATTTTATGACTCTGGAAGCTTTATTGCCTTCTGTAGACCATTGCTTTATTTTGAAAGCAGTGTTCATCTGCAGATAAAGTGGGATCATGAGCCTGTGTTATTGTCACGTAGGACTGTGTCATGGTATTTATATCCTTTACCATTTACTTTTTTAAATGCAGGTGCGAGAAGCTGCTTATAAAATTTTTCTTTATCCCAATGCTGTTCAATTGAAATGTTTAGAAGAATTGCTCAGCAGCAGAGATCTTCTGGCAAAGTTGGTAGGGTATTCCACATTTTCCCACAGGGCTCTCCAAGGAACAATAGCTAAAAATCCAGGTAAGCCTGTTTATCCAACATTTAAGGACAAAATAGGTTGTTATGAAACTGAGCTTTTGATTTCAGATAGCTGTAAATTAGTGCTCTATTTTTAATACAGAGAACCATGTGTTGAGATTTTTAAATGTATTTTTATAGGAACCATTTTTAAATAGAGCAAATAATTTGGCATATATTCTATCCAACCAAAGTATTTTATTTTATGTGAATGTTGAGAGTAAAATCATAACCTAAATTTTCATTTTGATATTAGTCTAAATTGTTTTCATTTTAACTCAATTAGTTTCTGTGCTCAATTTGATCAAATTGGTTAGAATTAGGATGAGAGAATGAAAGATGAGTATTTTTACTGAGGTCAAGGTTAAATGTCAGCTAGGTCATATAAGAAACACATAGTCAGATAAGCCTTGTTTTCAGAAAGAAGAGTGTGCTGCTTAGGAAGGTTTGTGCTGGGTGGGGTGTGACGGAAGTGTGTCCTTGGGTTTGTAATAAACTTGCCTTCTGCTGTGTTGAGTTCCTTATGATTCATAATGTCTAGGAGAAAATGTTACCCAATAATATAAATGTACAAAATACGTTTTTTCAAAAGCATTTATTGAATTGTAGTTGTAATTTAGGCGGTGAGTCAGGAGTAGGTGGCCATGGTGGTGGAGCTGAGGGAGATTCGCGGTCTTGGAAGTGAAGTTGCAAGACTTGGTGAGGATGAAGGAGAGGAGGAGGCGGTGTGGTGGCCCCCTGGATTTCTGATTGTGCATCTGGCTAGACGTTCCACTCACAGACAGAGGGGACAGTGTGGGCAGATCATAACCTGAGTCCTCACTTGTCTTTTCTCCTTCTGTGCTTATCCCTTCCCAGCCTAGCATGCTCCTCTCTTCTCCAGAGTTCTCTAAATGCACTCAATCTTCTTACTGTTTCGTAATCGGCTGTTTCCCTTGACCTGTCGAGGCTCTTGGCCAAGCCACAGGCCTGTCACACTTATTGCGGCTTGGTTACCTCACTCATGTCTCAAGGTCTCCAGTGGCATGCACCTTCTCATCCTAGTCTGTCTGTTAAAATCTTACCCCGTTTTTTTAGTGCTCAGCTCAAAACCCACCTCTTTGATGAAGCTTGTTACACTTTTCCACTTTCTTTGGACTCTTTTGTCCTCCAACGCTTAAAACACTTACAATTTGTTTCATGTAATTGAAGCTCCTAAACAGATATAAGTCTGTTATGTATTATATGTGTGTGTTTTTTTTTTTTCTTTGAGATGGAGCCTTGCTCTTGTTACCCAGGCTGGAGTGCGATGGCGCGATCTCGGCTCACCGCAACCTCCGTCTCCTGGGTTCAGGCAATTCTCCTGCCTCAGCCTCCTGAGTAGCTGGGATTACAGGCACGTGCCACCATGCCCAGCTAATTTTTTGTATTTTTAGTAGAGACGGGGTTTCACCATGTTGACCAGGATAGTCTCGATCTCTTGACCTCGTGATCCACCCGCCTCGGCCTCCCAAAGTGCTGGGATTACAGGCTTGAGCCACCGCTCCCGGCCTATATGTGTGTTTTTAGTGTATGTTTTTTCTTTTTTTGTAAGCATCATTTTGGTGAAAAGTGTGTTTTTCTGTCATCACTGTTGTCGACGGTTTGATTATACCAGTACTATATTTGTATCTTATCTTATATAAAATCATATTAGAATAACACTCAATGCTTATTCTGTTGTATCTCATTTCCTTCCTCTGTAGCTTTGTGAAGTAGGTATTTGTATTCATGTCACAGATAAGGAATCTAAGGTTAGGTTATATTGCTAAAATGTGGCTGAACCGAAGCCTAAATACATTCTCTACGTTTATGGTTTGACATAGGCTGCTTGAGACCTAATGCCCTATCTTTTATGTCATCTACATCCTGTTTTTATGTATTAATTCAGCAAATACTTACTCAATGCCCACTATATGTCAGATATTATTCTCGGCCATGGAAATAAATCAGTGTGTAAAGCAGAAGAAAATTCCTATTCTTTAGCAGCTTACATTCTTGTGAGCAAGGGAAGACAGTTAAGAACGAAATAAGTAGATAAAGTATGTGGGATGTTATTAGTTAATACAAGCCATGGAGAAAACTGAACAGGGGAGGGGATAAGGAATGTGGGCACGTGGGCACGTAGGCTGGTGTTGGAGTTTTAGAGGGCGTTGTCGGAGGGCTTGCTGAGAACATGGCATGTGAGTGTGCTCTTGACAGGCGCAGGCGTGAGGCTGTGACTCTTGAGGGGGGAAGGTTTCACACAGAGGCACTAGCAAGGGCTAAGGTCTTGAGGCAGAAAAATGCCTGCCACGTTTGAGGAAAAGCAAAGAGGGCAGAGTGGCTGAAGCAGTGTGTGTGAGGAGGGTGGGGAGAGGTGGGACAGACTGACAAGGGGCAGCATTAAGTAGTTGGGACAGAGGAGTGAGGTGATCTGACTCCAGTGCTAACGGTGAGTCCGTGCTAATGGTGGAAGAGAGACTGCTCAGGTGCTGGTGGGCAGTAACCATGATGAGAAGTGTTGGCATCTTGACCGGGTGATAGCAGGGAAGATGGGAAGATGTGATCAGATTCTGGATATATGGTATTTGGAAGAGGGAGCCAACGTTTTTGACCTAAGCAACTAGAAAGAGGGTGAGTTACTGTTAACTAAGATTGGGAGGACCAGGAACTTGGTTTGGTTCAGGTTAAGTTTGAGATACCAAATGAGGTTCAAGTGGCAATGCTGGTAGGCAGTTAGAGTTCTGAGCTGCAGATGTAAATTTGAACCTCTGAAACGAGACTCTGAGACCACTAAGGGAGTGCGCTTAAAGAACAAATCCAAGAACTGAGCTCTGTTTAAACATCTCCAAGTTTAAGAGGCCAGGCATGTGAGGAATTGCTAGTCAACACTCCCAGACATAATGGCCAGTGGGAGAGGCGGAAAGTGATGATAATGTGTGGTCCTGGAGGCCATGCAAAAGGTCTGTCTACAGGATAAGGGAGAGATCGGCTGACTCATGCTGTGGGCAGGTCAGATGTGAGGAGGACTGGGCACGACCACTGTCTCCAGCAGTGTGGCGCCCACTGGACCTGCAGCACCCAGCACCAAATTCCATAACCGGCAAGGCACCCTTGTGTACTAAGCGCTTGGTGTGCTAATGTATTGGCAGGGGGATGTGGTGCTCATTGTCACACAGGATGTGCCCTGGGTCCGTGAGGATTTAAAACTTAGTATATTCATATAAAAACATAAATAGTAATACAGGTTGGCACATTTTCAGTGCCCATGGAGTAGTACAGACAATGTCATGGGATTTAGAAGCTCAGGCTGTTTGTCAGATGTGTCTATGGCTGTTGAAGGCACCCTGAGGGAAATGAAACCCCTCATGCACAGTGACGGAATGAGTCTTGCAGAGCAGAAGGAAGGCAGGAGAGGCTGACTGAGGCTAAGGCAGGCATTCTTGTGGCCAGCGAATGAGGAGGTAACTGTGGTGAGGCACTTAGTGATTTTCAGGGGGTTTGAAATTCAGTCTTTATATGACAATTCTCTAGGTACACTAATTGAGGCAGGCCAGGCGCGGTGGCTCATGCCTGTCATCCCAGCACTTTGGGAGGCCAAGGTGGGCAGATCACTTGAGGTCAGGAGTTTGAGACCAGCCTGGCCAACATGGTGAAACCCTGTCTCTACTAAAAATACAAAATTAGCCAGGTGTGGTGGGGCACACCTGTAATCCCAACTACTTGGGAGGCTGAGGCAGGAGAATCACTTGAACCCACGAGATAGAGGTTGCAGTCAGCCGGATTGCACCACTGCACCCCAGCCTGGGTGACAGAGCAAGACTGTCAAAAAAAAAAAAAAAAAAAAAATTAACTGAGGCAGATTCTTCACATATAAAATTACTAGAAGAGTAAGATGGGTGAGCATTAAAACATGGTTATTAAGAAGTAAAAAGTGTACAAGCATACACGGGGATTTACTTGAAAACAGTTTTGTATGGCACCTGGTATGCAATCCTAAAATGAGATTTTATTGTTGACTAAATAATTATTTTTTTCCCCCAAAATTTCTATTGTCATTTAATATGGCACATGAGGCAGTGTTTTCAGAATTTGTGTACACAGAACTTGTTAAGTATTGACAGTGGCAAGAAACCTCATGGTTTGGGTTTAGGTTAACCACCATTATTTCCTTAGCCTTTTATTTCACTCAAAAGGAGATAACTTAAAGAGAGCAAGAAACTTAAAACTGTACCAAAGATTATCTGGAAACTATAAACACAGTGTGTGTGGTAAACTAAAATACCTATGAAAGTTCTGTACATGTAAGTCAGTGTTAAAAAGTGCTATATTCAAAAATATTCGCAAAACATTTCCTATTGTGGGAGATGGTGGTAATTCTACTATACTGCCTTAATGGGTTTGTAAATGATGATAACTGTGAACCGTGAGCCGAGGTTGCACCACTGCACTCCAGCCTGGGTGACAGAGCAAGACTCCGTCTCAAAAAAGAAGTATTTTAATAAAACTACTTTAAAAATTCTATCAGAAGTTAAGATGTATTGTTCTTATTTTTCTGGGTTTTTTTTTTTTTTTTTTTTTTTGTTTTTATCTTGAATATATTATTCTGCAGTTAAAAACAAAATAGTTACCAAGAAATACATTGATTTTTAAAAATGTATTTCAGTGAATCATACTTCTACACTGCACCTATTTTTAGTAACAAACCAGAGTCTAGATATCTCTTTAAAACTTTGAAAAAAATCAGACTTGTCTAAAAACCTTTTTTCTTACACATATGAATAGATAGAAACACCTTGAAATTTTGGACTTTTTTCTTCAGCCTCCCATTAGTTCTTTTTTTGAGATGGAGTCTCACTCTGTTGCCCAGGCTGGAGTGCAGTGGTGTGATCTGGGCTCAGTACAATCTCCATCTCCTGGGTTTAAGCTATTCTCCTGAATCAGCGTCCTGAGTAGCTGGGACTATAGGTGTGCACCACTGCGCCCGACTAATTTTTGTATTTTTGGTAGAGACAGGGTTTCACCGTGTTGCCAGGCTGGTCTTGAACTCCTGACCTCAGGCGATCCACATCCCCTCAGCCTCCAAAAGTACTGGGATTACAGGAATGAGCCACTGCGCCTGGCTCCATTAACTATTTTAATTTTGGGATATAATCTGAGGCTATGGATTATTACTATGGCAATTTTTTTTTTTTTTTTCTGATTAACAGATCATCATTATCTAGAAGTGTTTACTCTATGTTTGGAATGTTAGTAGCTCTACTTTCCTTTGAAAATCATAACTTTAAGGGAATTATGTTATATAGATTATGATAATCACATAATAATTTTAACAGATATATTCATTTTATTTCACATAATTGAAGATATTTTCTTTTGGATTTCATTTTAGAGACTGTCATGCAGTTCCTTGAGAAACTATCTGACAAACTTTCTGAAAGGTTAGTTTTTACTCTACTATTTAGTTATTTGGTTATGTGTTATTTAGTTTTTTTAAAGAAGACTTGATTTATAAAAATTGAGGAAGTGAGTTAGAACATAAGTTTTGGCGTATTGGGCCAGACCAGTTTCACTATGAGATAGACTTTGAAAGACCATCGTTGTCTTCCTCAGGTGCCAGTCATGAAAACATAGGCTGTCCCCTCCCATTAACCAGTTGTCTTTAGAAATTCGTCTTTCAGCCGGGCGCGGTGGCTCACGCCTGTAATCCCAGCACTTTGGGAGGCCGAGGCGGGTGGATCACGAGGTCAAGAGATCGAGACCATCCTGGTCAACATGGTGAAACCCCGTCTCTACTA